ATGGTTAACGATGATGTTGGAGATGGCGAGGATGATGGATATAAAGATGATGATGAAGATGGTCAGGTTAACGAGGATGCTGAAGATGGTGAGGATGATAATTGGGTGGGGCGCCCATCGGATTTTTCGAGGTTTTGTGTTTGCAGAGGCGCTGCTGCTGATGCTGCTGCTACTGCCACCGGCGCCGGCGCCACTGCTTCACTGCTCGCGGTCAACTATGTCGCTATTAGCCCCCCCCCCCCCCCCCCCCCCGCACCCCTAGCAAAACGCCCAAAAACGCAGAAAAACAGAGGTTAACACCAGATGCCTGGGGTCGCGCATAGCTACTCAGCTACTACTACGACGACGACTACTACCAGTATTCTAGCTACTGTCATTAGTACTGTTGTGACTGTTTCAACTACTTCTGCAATATACTTGTCGTTCTTACTCTTGCTAATCTTGTCATTATTACAGCAACGTGCACCTGCACCGTGCTTCCCCGAAAGTTCCTCCTCTCTTCGGTACTTGTATGCATGTACGCTATATATATATATATATGTATATATATATATATAGTTAACATAGGTAGGTGTAGATATATGCACATACTATGTATATATAGATATATATATGTACACATACACACAATTTGCTCTATGTATATGTGCATGTACCTAATGACCCGTTTACTCGTATTTTGGACCTATCTATCTAAGCTCTTTCTTGTCTCTGCTATGTATGTAGTGATTGACTGTGTTTTAACTTATCAGGTATGTGCTTGTTTGAAGTGCAGCTCCTGTTTCACGATTTCCCTGCCACCTCGACGTGAAACTGCCTCGGCAGATGCATGTCCGAGGACTGCTCGGGGGCAAAGGTTTAGGGCTTGAGGTTTAGAGCCCGTTACCGAAACGGCGAAACCTGCATGCCTCGAGTCCTTTGCTTGGAAACTGGTCGACATTCTTGGTTACTTTGGGTGTAGGAATGATCACGGCGTCGTTCGCTTGTCATTGCTGGTTGGAAATGGAAATGGCTTTGCCTCCGTTCAGTCGTTTCAACTGCCATTGATTCGATGTACCTTTGCACATCCATGTGTGCATGCATCTCGTTGAACCCAAAAACCCATAACTCAATGGCATACAGGTATCCTCACAGCCGTCACCTCAATCATCGCCATCAAAATCAGTCAACGTATGTCCAGTCACTATGTATACCACCATCATCGTCAGCAGCAGTTATGGTCTGTCATTCATGATCATCATCATCATCATCACCACGAGTACAGTCATCAGTGCCACTACCACTCACTAACATCGTCCTCATCCTCCTCATCGTCATTATCATCCGGGTCGTTGTCATCCATTCAGCAGCATTAAGTTCATTCAGCAGCATTAATTTCAACCAGGAGTCGTCACAGAGGCTAATGCCGTGACGGCAGCACCAGCAGCAGGAATAGCTGTAGATCTACTGGAACTAGTGATGATGGTGCTGGATCATGGCCATCATCGTTTTCCCTTGGTTAAGCCGCCGACGACCACACTGACTGCTGACGTTGCGGTGATGGCCATGATGACGGTAATGATGACGATGATGGCTTTGCTGATGCGACACATTTCCATCGAACTACCATGAAGGGCACAACCCCCAGTCTTACCTCAGACAAGAATACTCGTAGTAGACGTCGTCTCCAACGTCGTCTGCCTGCAAGTGCTGGTGGCAGCAGCAGCAGCAGCAGTAGTCGCTGCAGCGGTGATAGTGTTGTTCGCTTCATCCTCATCGGTGTCAGAGCAGCAACATCGGCACCCCTCATGGCAATCACGAATCGCACGTCGGTTCTGAAAACGGAGCGCTTGCGAGATCGTGAGATGTTATACGCCTTCGAAAGAGCAGTACTAGTCTTCCCCTACTACAGTCCAGACTACGAAGGCCTTGCATTAGCTTTCGGAGCAGCTTAGAGTTATTCTTCTTCTCGATTCTCCAGCTTCTTGAGGTCGGGTGAGGCGGGGTATCAGGGATTCGGGTTTGGGGTCCTCCTGAGCCACGGACCCTCCGAGACGTTTGACTCTGCGACGAGCTTTGCCGCCTCTGCAAGGGGCCAGGGAGATTGGATCTTAGGCCCCTGCGCTCAGGGTTGCTTGGGGCTTAGGGCCTTTAGGGTTTAGGGTTTTTTTTTTGGAGCTCCTTTTCTGCACAGCACAAGTCTGCGAGGGTTTAGGGTTTAGGGTTTAGGGGTTTAGGGTTTAGGGGTTTAGGGGTTTAGGGGTTCAGGGGTTTAGGGTTTAGGGGTTCAGGGTTTAGTTTGTTGCGGCTCAGGGTTGCTTAAGGGTTTAGGGCCATTTGGGGTTACAGTAAAAGCCAGAAAGTTGGAATATGATTATCCTAAACCCTTTATGGTAAATTATAAGGTATCCTGCCCTGAAACCATATTCCAACTTTCTGGAGTTCCTCTTAGGAGAAGAGACCCTGAACCCTTAAGGTTCGACTCGATGCCCTGAGCCGTTCCCCAAGCCCTACCCAAAGCCCCAAAGTCGTTCATGAAACTATATTCCAACTTTATGGAGTTCCCTATACAACTCTTGTAGAAAACCCTAAACCCTAAACCCTAAACCCTAAAACCCTTCCCTATAGGGGTAGCTGCACCTGCAGGCCAGCTCCCATCTCGTCCTCGAGCCCTGAGCCACATCCCATGTCTTCACTCCACGACACCCGAGTCCCTGCATATCCGAGAGGGGTTTAGGGTTTAGGGTTTAGGGTTTAGGGGAGAGAGGACGCAACACGAACCGGCACTGAATAAAGGCAGATCCGTCGTAAAAATGATGAGTAATCAAGTGGCAATCACCATCGCATCAGCAGCCATACTTTCACACCCTAGTTGCCGAGTTCGCCACCGGCCTCAGGCCCAAAGAACCCTGAGAAAGTAGGCTTAGAGGGGTTAGAGGCCGGCTTCTAGCAGATGATCTTGTGCCACGCATTGAGGCCGTAAGCGTGGACCCCGGACTTCCTACAGAGCTGCATGACAGTCAGTACGTGATGATAAGGGGGCAGAGCAAAATTCTGGGCTTCTTTTGGTCCCCTAAACCAGAAGGAATATACCATAATACAGAAACCCCCAAAGGGCCCATAATTTTAGATCAACTTCCACAACGATCAGGATGACGGGGACGATGATGGGAACGGATAAGATGATTGCTGACGGGAAGGAGAAGAAGTCGATGGTGGTGAAGAGGAAGAGCGCTGATATTTGACGATTCAAGAGTCTTGTGACCTGATGCTAAACACTGAGAAACCCTGAACCCTAGATTCCCTAGATCGACTATGATGGGAGGCCAAAAGGGGGGGTTAAGATTCTTGGGGTAGGGATTCCTTGATAAGAACCCATTATGGGAACCCTAACCCCTACTAAACCCCCATAGGCTAAAACCTCTTTTGGCCTCCTATGATACCCGGAGTTTCCGAAAATAGGGGACCTAATATAGTACCCTTTAACAGCAGGATCCTTATTATAAGGACCCCAAATAAGGTACCCCGAATTTTCGGAAACTCTAGACCCTAAACCCTTTATAGAACCCTTATACATCCCTTAAAGGAACCCTTATAGGTCCCTTAAAGGAACCCTTATAGATCCCTTTAAAGGTACCCTTTTTGGTCCCTGTAAAGGTACCCCCTTAGGGATCGACAGCCAGGCCTGGCGCTGCATAAGTTGCAGCGGGTCCTCGCTTGGGCAGTCGTCCGGGAGCGGCGCATCTGCCATGGAGGCTCGGTTCTCGGTTTAGGGTTTAGGGTTGAGGGTGTAGGGTTTAGGCCTTGGTTTAGGGTTTAGAGTTTTTTTTAGGGTTTAGGGTTGGGCGAAGGAACCGGCGGCTACGACTCTCCAGGCCTTCGCTGGCGAGCAGCGCCCTGGCCAGCACGGCCGGCCACAGGCAACGCCTGAGGTTTACTCGCTTTGGGGTGAAGGGTTTTGGTGTTTCTAAACCCAAACCCCCCTGAGGTTGACTCGCTTTCCCAGTGGGTCCATATACACTACCATGATGGAAGTAGGTCCCAAAAGACCATCCCGATTGTGGTTTTGGGGACCTACTACCACAATGGTAATGTATATGGACCCTCTTGGTATGGAAACCCTAAACCCAAACCCCCAAACAAACCGCAAGGCACTGGCCTTAAAGCTCAAACCTTGCGGATAGGGCCACTTGGGGTGCAGGACCCTGAGTTCTCTGGTGCCCTTAAACGGAAGCACGAAATTGCAAAAACTCTTGACAGTTCCTCTGAATCCCCAGCAAAACCCCTAAACCCTAAACCCTGGATGCTGCTTGCCGAGTACTGTCGCGATTCATGGATTCTGTCTGCATGCAGCTACTACAGAGGCCTTAAAAACTAGAATAGGGTGTCTGGGGCCCAATATACTATGATTAGAATAAGGGACCCCCAGAGATAGTATTGTAATTATGAAAAAGAATAGGGTTTTGGGGCCCATTCTACTATAATTATAGTAAGGAACCCCCAAATAAATCGTACTGAAATTATCAAGGCCCTTATACTATGCTCTTTGCCTCGCAGCACAAGGGAGCCTATGCCATCCTCAGTGGGTCCCGCTTGGGGCTTAGTTCAGGGCCTAGGGTTTAAGGTTTAGGGTCTGGGGTTTAGGGTTTAGGTTTTTTTTTTTAAGTGGTGTGTAGGGTTTAGGGTTTAGGGTTTAGGGTTCAAGCCTTCGCGCTTTCAAGAGGCTCAACTGCTTCCGAGAGTCATCAACCCAGCTCCGACGTGAAACGAACGCTTCTAGTAAGAGAGGAATAAGGGATGGAATCGTGGGAGCTGACTTTGAGCCAAACAGCAGCGCCCAGGTTTGGCCTTATATCAGGGGCCTTGCTTCTGGAGCATCCCAGTATTCTTACTATTCTTATTATTATTGTTATTGTTATTGTTATTGTTATTGTTATTATTATTGTTATTAGAGTCCAGTCAAGTAGGGACCCCTTTTAGGGCAGCTCGTCAACATCGTTATTATCACAATAACGAACAAAGACCGTGTCTTGTTGCTTTACTTATCAGCCTTATTAGTATTACTAGTTCGATTGCTCTTACTGTTGCTGCTGTTGCTATCGTTGTTGCTTTTATTTATTGCTCTTACTCAGACATACATAGCTAACTACCCCCGAACCTCCAAGTAGGCCCTAAACCCTATACTCCTATAGAAACCTATAGATCCCTTTAAAGAGACCCTTAAAGGAACCCTTATAACTCTCCAAGTTAACCGTCAACCCGTGAAACCCATTGAAAAACCCTGCGATTTCCACGAGTTCCAGTCAGTCAGGTCTAGATAAAGGGAACTCCAGAAAGTTGGAATATGGTTTCAGGGTAGGATACCCTATAATTTAGCATACAGGGTTTAGGATAATCATATTCTACTATTTGCTTAAGAAACACCCAAAAATAAAAATAATAATCCCTATATTACCCCCCATAAGGAATATATTTTTTATTTTTTGGGGGTTCTTAAGCAAATAGTAGTATTCCAACTTTCTGGCTTTTACTTTAGAGGGCTTTGGGCTTATGGTTTAGGGCATCTTCGGGTTCCAGGGTTTAGGGTATGATGCACCTAACCCCAAGCAACCTACCTTTTTAAGGACTTATATAAAGAAATCATATGAGGGAACCCTAAAAAGGGAGGTTCCTTAGGGTATCATGTAGGGAAGAGAATGGCAAACGGATCCTCCACTTTGCAAGCCACGCTTTTTCCGGCAGAATCAAGACCACCCTTATTCCCACTCCTGTTCAATGAACCCCCGCGTTTCTGTGGGCCACGAAAGACCAAAGGATCTTTGGTGCCAAGGCGTTTGCTCAAGTCTCCTCCCCAGAGACTCCAATATCCCTTAATTAAGGAATATTCCTTAAATCATATCGGGGATCCTACTATAATTTAAGGAATCTTCCTTAATTAAGGGATATTGGAGTCTCTGGGTCGGACATTGGAAGGCCATTTCACTACTTAGAGGATCATGGGACTTAGTAACCAGGGTTATAAGTAAGGTAACTATACTTATAAGTAGTTATAACCCCAATTAAAGTCCTTATAACCTTACTTACTAAGTCCCATGAACCTCCAAGTACCCGTGGCCCCATGGCTGCCCAAGGGGATGCAGAGATCCCCCACGCCCGTCTGGACGGGAACCTGCCGAAGCAGCCGAGATGGAGGAAGGCTGGGGATAAACCGGACTCGGAAATCCGACATCGAAACGAAAGAAAGAGAAGAAACACGAAATCGCTTTAGGGTGGTTAAAAGCGACGAAAATGAAATGGAAAACGGAATATTGCAGACCAGCAACATGCGAAATTAATCTGAAGCTGCCGTCTGTCGGAGTCCTCCATCACGGTAGCACTGCTCGCACGTGCTGTGGGACACAGAGAAGGCAGCCAAGTTTCTGTGGAACACTTCGAGCGCGGCCTCGCTTTCTTGAACTGAACTATTCCTAACTTTCCTAACCGTCCAAACCTACCTGAGCAGCGCTTGCATCCTAAACCGGACCGCTACCATATCTTCGGTTATCTTTTGCCACGCCTGATACACCACAGCATCGGCATCGTCCTGCCAGCCCAGCAGCTCAGAGACGTTGTATTCCGCCTGTGCCGTCTTACCCGGGGAACCGGGCCTGACGTCCTCGAAGTCCGACGGTTGGCAAGCTCCCCCAAGCATTTTGTGAAAGAGGCATATGGATAAGTCCCACATGTCCTCAGCGTCTCGCAAAGGCAGCAAAGCACAAGCACGCTGAAGTCTCAAGCGTGCCTGTACGACAAGTACGCTGCAGATTCATGTTCTGTTTACAGCATTGTTCTCAAGTCGTAGCCCGACATATAATCAGTAACCTTGGACCTTACAGAGGGCTCCCGACAGAAGGTCACAAAGGTGCCCAACAATGGCTGGAGTCAGTGATGCCCACGAATGCGAAGCCTTTCCGAACCATGCGTGCTGCTTCAGCCGCATCGTGGCGTGTCGTGCGCGGCCTGCTGTCGTAAAAGATACTACTGATGATCCTCCTCCTCATCCTTCTATTACTGCTGCCGCTGCCACCACCACCACCACCACCAGAACCGTCACGATCGTGATCGTTATCGCCATGCTCGTCATCATCATCCTCATCAGCTGCACCACTCCACCAAAGCATCGTCTCGAATGTGGTCTCTGGCATCACCATCGCATCATTGCAGCAACAGCATAACCCTTCGCGTAACTTCCTGGAACTGCTTCTGTTTGCAACTGCAGGGATCGAGCTGAGGTTCGACATTAAGCCTGCGTGGCCTGGACTCGGGCAGGATTTCGAAGCTCGCACAAACCTGTACTGTAAGCCTCACCTCACCCAAGTTAAACATGTCCACCCTCACCTGATATACAAAGTCCAACAATATTGGAAACCCTAAACCCTAAACCCTAAACCCTAAACCCTAAACCCTAAACCCTAAACCCTAAGAAGACAGAAGTGAACCCCGAGACCGGCCTCCCAGCACCGCCCAGACTTCCGCCCCAACCTTTGCCGACCAGTTGGTATGCCATGCCACCCCTCCTTGGCTCATCAGGTCACGACAGCCACTAAAGGACTGTGGGACTTATTAACTAGGGTTGTAATAACTAAGGCAACTGTAGTTGCAAAAGCAATACAACCCCCATTAAGGTTCTTGAAACCTTACTTATTGAGTCCCTGGCCCTCCGACTTAGGCCTTCGTGAAGCTTGAACCCATAAACCATAGCATATGCAGCTCGACACCTCCAGGGTGCCTTGGCGTTCCAAGCAGCCATCAAACACTACCACAGCGAACCTCGCCAGAAACGAGCGGATCTTCGGTCCGGCGAATTGTGGAGGATCGTCGTGCCGTGCTCCGACACAGGTGCTGGAACCCCCCCCCCCCCGCAACAAGCTCCAAAGCCCCGAGCTTCAAAGGCTAAACCCCCAAACCCCCGAGAGAAACCTCGACCCTCAAATCTAAAGACAAACACCACAACGTAACCATAAACCCCTCCCCTTTTGGTCCCAACCCCAACCTACAGCCGAGGATCCACTGCTCGGCGAAGTCGAGCAAAGGCATCTTTGGCAGTCCGTCCTGAAAGAAGTTTGGGGTTCAAGGTTTAAGGATTTGATGTCGGTTTTGGTGGTGTTTCAAGCTTTACTGACCTGATCCGCGGGTAGGGTTACAAGTACCTAAGTAGGGAGTCCTCAAGACCCGGGGGCTTCAATCGGTTGAAACCGAGCTGCCTCAGATAATCATATGGGAGTTTCCGAAAATGGGGGGTACCTTAATTTGGGGTCCTTATATTAAGGATCCTATTTTATAGGGTACTATATTAGGGTCCCCTATTTTCGGAAACTCCCATATAGTATACTATGACGCGTACGATATACATTAGTATACTGTACTGTAGTAATTAAACTATGCTAAACTTAAACTGTATCATAATATAATACCATGTCATATGACTGCAAAACCTACCGAGCTCCTATACCTTCGTGGCTTCGGCGGGGAAAGCAAACATCAAGTTTAGAGTTTAATGCTTGGGCGATGGCGTCAGCCATTCCGAACCAAGACATAGTGCTGATGGACAAAATCCTGCATGACCCTAAGGACTCTAAACTATGGGAACTATGGTATATTCCTCATAAAGGGTAATGCAGGAGTTTGTCCATCAGCAGTACAGCCAACCTTGAGTCCTAAACTCTCACAGGGATTTACGCTTTCTTAGAAGAACATCTCATTGGGGCTTTGGAAACGGCAAAAACCCTCAACCCTAAACCCCAACATTTAGGGGTTTAGGGGTTTAAGGGTTAAACCCTAAACCCCTAGGGCTTTAGGGGCTTAAGGGCTCAGGGGCTTAGGGGTTTAGGGCTTTTTAGAGGGACCCAATGGCTCCTCGGACCTCTACTTGCTTAGGCCCAAACAGCGAAAAACCGCAAGCTTGCAGAAGGCACGGTTTAGGGCTTAGGGCTTAGGGTTTAGGGTTTAGGGTTTAGGGTGGCAAGTCGAAAGTAGGCACTCTGAAGAAAGCCCACCAAGAGCCAACCCGCTGCCTGCTGCATCATCTGCTTTCGGCAGAAGGCGTCGTGACTTCTGGGCTCCTGGCCCAGCTACGGAGAATCACGGCAGCACAAGCTCGTATGAAGTCATCTTCGGGCACAAGCTCCTATATACATCCCAAAGACAGGATTAAGCGCTAAGGCCAGCCTGGGTGTTTGAACAAGGGATTTAAACTTAGGGTACCATAATTCAGGGTTCCTCTAAGGGTTCTATAAGGGTTCCTTCTAGGCCCTAAACCCTAAGCCCTAAACCCGTAAACCCCTAAACCCCTAAACCCCAAACCCTAAACCCCTAAACCCTAAACCCTATAAGGGTTCCTTTAAGGGGTTCTAGAAGGGTTTAAGAACCCAGCAGCTTCCGCCAACTCCTGGTCCGCGGCGGCGAAGTTCTGTTCATCGTCGTAATACCTGAAAGGGTTTAGGGTTTAGAGATTAGGGTCTAAGATTAGGAGATTGGGCTTGGGGTTTGGGATAAGTGCTTCACCCTATGCCCCAAACCTCGAACTTAGTGGCTTTGACAGGGTTGCTGAAAATTCAAAGAAGCTAACAGTCTGGCGGTGAAGTGCAAGTGTTAGACTGAGTTTCGACTGGGAGTTCGAGGCCTCTGTCCGTTCTTTGTGGGTGCTTTGGGGTTTCACAAGGTTTGGGGTTTAGGGTGTCATTGGGTTTAGGGTCTTGGGTTTCATAGGGTCCAGGGTTTAGGAAGTTTAGGGTGTCATTGGGTTCAGGGTGTCATAGGGTTTAGGGAGCGTTAGGGCCTACGGGGCTAGGGTTTGGAATTGAGGGTTTCCCAAACGCAAAACCATGTCGACACGGCGGACCCAGGTTCAGAGCCGGAAAGACCTTCCTCAGCGGTGCTCAGAAAGCCGTCCCAAGCTACCAACATCAGACAAAACTTGGAGCTTCTTTCTAGCCAGTGGTTTGGGGGGTCCCTTGGCTCTTTAGCTCCTGATTTAATAGGGATTATCATCATCCCTGGCTCCTTAGCTCCTCCAATATCAATAGTAAGCTATTGCTTGGACAGAGAATAAGGTTTTCAATAGGGTCTTCGGTCTTCGGCCCCAGGGACGCGGAGAGGATTCGCTGCTCCGGCTGCCTGAACATGCCCACCATGCGGCCCTTCAGAAATGGGTAGCCTTGGGTTCCAAAGAGACTGCAATATCCCTTAATCGAGGAATCTACCTTAACTCATATCCTGAATCCTGCTATAACTCAAGGTATGTGACTTACTTAAGGGATATTGGAGTCTCTGGGTTTGGGTGGGAAAGGAGAGCCGTAGGCAGCGCTCGAAACTTTGCTACTGCAGGAACCTGATTAAGAAATCCTGGGCCTATCACTCCAAAATAGAGGATGCATACAAGGAACCCTAAGAAAGGCCCAAGCTTGCTTAATCAGGTTCCTACATTATTTGAGATCTGGGGGGTTGAGCGTAGCGCTCCAAAGATATGTAGTCTGGGAGTCTACGCTGCATCATCATGCAAATCTGAAGCTTTCTGGTGTGCTCAGCAGTTGACCTCAACATGTACTGAGATTGGGTCTTGGGTCCTTGGATGTTGGAACCCTAAACCCTAAACCCTAAACCCTCGTGCTCATACATGCTGCGATGGGTGCAACAACAGCCCCATCCCCAAAACCCAAACCCCACAAAGCCCAAACCCTGTGCCTGAGGCCCCCTAAGCCCTAGAGAAAACCCCATAAAGTTGGAAACCGGACTAAGGCCAAATAGTGCTGGAATTCCCCATATATTACTCTTAAGGACTTAGGCTATTGGGTTTCCAACTTTTGGGCTTCTGTAAACCCCCTTGCTCTCAGTCGGGACCCCTAAACCCTAAACCCTAAACCCTCTCTCTCTCTCTCTCTCTCTCTCTCTCTCTCTCTCCCCTAAACCCTACACCCTAAACCCTAAACCTCTCAGCCGGGACTCGGCTTCCCAGCTTGAGGTGAGGAGGCCCCGAACTTCGACAAGAAAACTTCTCCCGGTTGCACTGATCGGAGCAGTTCTTGTCAGCCCAACGGACCCTCGCCAAATTGGGATCTATAGGGTTCCTTAAAGGGATCTATAAGGATCTATAGGGTTTAGGGTTGAGGCTTTAATATCCCCTTTTTGAGGAATATACCCTTTAGATATAGGGCCTCCTTTACGGGATCTAGAAGGGATCTGTGATCGTTGGCCCAAGATAGCCTCGCCTTCTTGGAGCTAAACTAGAAGCCAGAAAGTTGGAACATTATTATCCTCATGCCTTTAAGGTATAGGTTTAAAAACAACATAGGTTTAAAAACTATGCCTTTAAGGTAAAGAATAGGGGATCTCAGCATTAATCTCCTAAGCCCATGCTTCAACTTTCTGGTTACTACTGTATGCCTCTAGGCGACACGGCCTCTAAGGGCGTTCGGGCTCCGAGGCTTTTGGGTGTTTAGGCGCGTTTGGGGGCCGAAGGTTCAAGAAGGCTAGGGTTTAGGGTTTAGGGTTTAGGGTTTAGGGTTTAGGGTTTAGGGTTTAGGGTTTAGGGTTTAGGGTTTAGGGTTTAGGGTTTAGGGTTTAGGGTTTAGGGTTTAGGGTTCAGCAGCTCTGGTCGAGCAGTATCTAGTCAAGTTCGCTAGTAAGAACTTGGAAGAATACCCACCCACCCAAAGAATCCCAAAACATAAGAGTTAGAAAGTTTTTTCGTTACCCTTAAACGACATCAAACCTCAAACCCTACGCCTCGATTTCCAGGCATACTTATGTTTCTATTGCTGCAGTACAGAAAGAAGCAAAAACCTAGCTGAACCACCGGGGGGTCCATACGAAAACCCAGCTGAACCACCGGGGGGTCCATACGAAAACCTAGCTGAACCACCGGGGGTCCATACGAAAACCTAGCTGAACCACCGGGGGGTCCATACGAAAACCTAGCTGAACCACCGGGGGGTCCATACGAAAACCTAGCTGAACCACCGGGGGTCCATACGAAAACCTAGCTGAACCACCGGGGGGTCCATACGAAAACCTAGCTGAACCACCGGGGGGTCCATACGAAAACCTAGCTGAACCACCGGGGGGTCCATACGAAAACCTAGCTGAACCACCGGGGGGTCCATACGAAAACCTAGCTGAACCACCGGGGGTCCATACGAAAACCTAGCTGAACCACCGGGGGGTCCATACGAAAACCTAGCTGAACCACCGGGGGGTCCATACGAAAACCTAGCTGAACCACCGGGGGTCCATACGAAAACCTAGCTGAACCACCGGGGGGTCCATACGAAAACCTAGCTGAACCACCGGGGGGTCCATACGAAAACCTAGCTGAACCACCGGGGGTCCATACGAAAACCTAGCTGAACCACCGGGGGGTCCATACGAAAACCTAGCTGAACCACCGGGGGGTCCATACGAAAACCTAGCTGAACCACCGGGGGTCCATACGAAAACCTAGCTGAACCACCGGGGGGTCCATACGAAAACCTAGCTGAACCACCGGGGGGTCCATACGAAAACCTAGCTGAACCACCGGGGGGTCCATACGAAAACCTAGCTGAACCACCGGGGGGTCCATACGAAAACCTAGCTGAACCACCGGGGGTCCATACGAAAACCTAGCTGAACCACCGGGGGGTCCATACGAAAACCTAGCTGAACCACCGGGGGGTCCATACGAAAACCTAGCTGAACCACCGGGGGTCCATACGAAAACCTAGCTGAACCACCGGGGGGTCCATACGAAAACCTAGCTGAACCACCGGGGGGTCCATACGAAAACCTAGCTGAACCACCGGGGGTCCATACGAAAACCTAGCTGAACCACCGGGGGGTCCATACGAAAACCTAGCTGAACCACCGGGGGTCCATACGAAAACCTAGCTGAACCACCGGGGGTCCATACGAAAACCTAGCTGAACCACCGGGGGGTCCATACGAAAACCTAGCTGAACCACCGGGGGGAAAACCACCGGGGGTCCATACGAAAACCTAGCTGAACCACCGGGGGGTCCATACGAAAACCTAGCTGAACCACCGGGGGTCCATACGAAAACCTAGCTGAACCACCGGGGGGTCCATACGAAAACCTAGCTGAACCACCGGGGGGTCCATACGAAAACCTAGCTGAACCACCGGGGGTCCATACGAAAACCTAGCTGAACCACCGGGGGGTCCATACGAAAACCTAGCTGAACCACCGGGGGGTCCATACGAAAACCTAGCTGAACCACCGGGGGTCCATACGAAAACCTAGCTGAACCACCGGGGGGTCCATACGAAAACCTAGCTGAACCACCGGGGGGTCCATACGAAAACCTAGCTGAACCACCGGGGGGTCCATACGAAAACCTAGCTGAACCACCGGGGGGTCCATACGAAAACCTGGCTGAACCACCGGGGGGTCCCGAACGAAAACATGGCTCAACATTTAAATACTCATTTGAAAGAGAGGGTTTAGGGTTTAGGGTTTAGGGTTTAGGGTTTAGGGTTTAGGGTTTAGGGTTTAGGGTTTAGGCAACTGCAAGGCTTCTGGAGTTTTAGGTTTGGGCCTTCAGCAGAAGGAGCCTTTCTTCTTTCTGGATGCGAATGGGCACCCCGAATCTACAAACAGAGAAGCCTACATACATACTTTCTACATATATTTTTCTATGCATTTGTGTATATATATATATATATATGTATACATATAGATGTATACACTCAGCAGAAGCATATCCAAAACCGTACAGCCTATCCTCTATCTTGGGAGAGCACTGAAGTCTGAAGACAAGATGACCCGTCAGCGTTTACCCCAGCATGACTCTTACACTTGCTTAGTAGGGAATGGAAGAATGGTAGTAATAGTGGTTATATAGTAGTTATACAGTAGTTGTATTTTAGCAATATGGTAGTAGTCTGGTGGTAACGGTAGCTTATAATTCTACCCCGTTCCTGAGGATTCCCCGTCCCGACACCATTGGTTGCAAGAAGAGCGGAGCTGAGTCAGAGAGGCACACACGCTTGAGAAACCAAAGTTCCCACAGGGTTTAGGGTTTGGGGTTTAGAGCACACAGACATGAGGAGAGAGAGAGAGAGAGAGAGAGAGAGAGACAGAGAGAGACAGAGAGAGAGAGAGAGAGACACAGAGAAAAAAAGGTAAGAGAGCGAGAGCGGGAGCTGGAGGAGCGGGGAGCGGGAGCGGGCTCGAGACAGACAGACAGCCAGACAAACAGATCCAGAGTTAGAGACGGACGCGAGACAGGCACATACGTGCGAATGTACAGGATGACGGCAGGGGACAAAGACCCTTTATCTGACTTTCTCTGGTGAGCCAAGGACCTACTGAAGGGGTAGAGAGATGTAAACAGAAAGTGCGGCACAATGAGGATGCTGCTTCTTGACCTGCTGTCACCTTACTTGTGAGTTCATGCGGCCTGAACAAAAAAAAGAACGGGTAAAGAACACCGCTTGCGCTCCACCAAAATATGCAGAAAAGGCAACATTTTCGCCGCCCTTCTGGTTGCTTGCTACTCCCATTCCCAGACGATAGATACAGTTACCTGCACCGTCTTTGTCGTCCTGCCCATCGACACATCTACGCGGACAAGCCCACGCCACAGTTTTCGAGCCGTGTCCAAACAAATGAACGGGGTTGGGAAGAAACTTTGACATGACTGTTTAGGCATCAGACCACCATGAACACAATGAACATCACAAGACTTTGAAGCTCCGATATGGCAAGTGGCATCCAGCATCCGGATCTCCCCTCATCACCAAGTGTAGTGTTGGCCAAAGACGGGCAGACTCCAGGCAAGTGGATGATCGCGTTAATGAGCGAGCTGCCACACTTCCTTCATGTGAAACAGATTGTAACTATCCGTGAAGTTGCCACAGCAGCACCTGCTGTTGTTACTGCTGCTGCCGCCTCCTCCTCCGCCTGCTATTGTTGCTTCGACGGCTGTGCTACCGCTGCTACTGCTACTGCCACTGTAGCTGCCAAAACGACTACTTCTACTTCTGCTCCTGCTTCTGCTGTGAATGCTGTTGCTAGCCAAAGTCGCTACTGGCAAATGCAATGCCGAGCCACCGAGGGCCAGAAATTTCTAAAGCTGACACAGGGAAAATGACAAACTACGGCACGGTCTATGGCGACAAAAAGCGGCAACCCGGATCCCAGCCGAAACGAGCCTTCGGCCCTGAAACCCTCAAATCCTAAAGCCCCAAAGCCAGATAACCCCTGCCTTCCCTCCCCCCGCCCCCTCCACCAAAAAAAAAAAAGAACAACCCCCCTTTAGCCCATGCCCGACGCCTCAAGAAAACCCGAGTATCCTTCACCTTAAACCCTCAACCCTAAATCCTAAACCCTCAAGACAAAGGGAAGGACCGAGGCTCGGAAAGTGGGCCCACCAGAGTGGCTCGGCGCTCGTTACATCCAGTTCCAGTCTCAGAAGCGGTTTAGGGTCTTTTGTGGGAGGCTGGAACCCGGTTTAGGGGGTATAAACCCTAAACCCTAAACCCTAAACCCTAGGGTTTAGGGTTTAGTCTCAGCCTCAGAAGGTGAAGGGGACCCAGGGACTCCAATATCAAGGGACATACCTGAAATCATAGTAGGATCCCTACTATGATTTACGGTATATTCCTGAATTAAGGGATATGGGAGTGTCCGAAAATTCGGTGTACTTAATTTTAGGGTCCATGTAATAAGGATCTTATTATATCAGGTACTGTGCTAGGGTCCCCTATTTTCGAAACTCCCATATTGGAGTCTGGGGAGCCTTGGCTTCTGGGGCTTTCAAGGTTGAGGGTTTAGGGCTTTGGGGAGCTCCTCTTGGACCTTCCTGCAGCTGCCAGGTGACTGGGGACCTGAATTTTTCGAATAGGGTTCCCTTAAAGGGAGCCTTATTAAAGGGGTTTATAAAAAAACGATAAAAGGGTTCTATACTATAGGGGCCTTGATATTAGAATAGGGTTTCGGGGCCCATTATACTGTAAGTATAACAAGGACCCCCCAAAATAGTATAGCTAATTATTTATGCCCCTATAAATCCTGATAACCATAAACCCTAAACCTAAGGTTCATGGGACTTAGTAAGTAAGGCTATAAGTACTTGGGGTTATAAAAGTTATAAGTATAGGTACGTTACTTATAACCCCAGTTACTAAGTCCCATGATCCTCTAAGTACAAGTAGAAGCCTCCCGCCCTTGTCCTTTAAGAAACAATAGACAGAGCCCCATAAGTAGGAAATATTGAAGAAGGTCTACTAGCCGGTCTGTTTATTCTTTTAAAGGAACCATGAAAAAGGACAAGGCTGAATCTTCCTCGGGTTTAGCACTTGGGGCTGATACACTATACTTAAAGGCTCATGGGACTTAGTAAGGTTCGTTAAGGGCTCCTTAAAGGGATCTATAGGGATCCTTAAAGGGATCTATGAAGTTTAGGGTTTAGGGTCTACTTAAAGGCTCATGGGACTTAGTAAGTAAGGTTATAAGTAGGATATAATTAGGATAACCCCAGGACTTATAACCCCAGTTATAACCTACTTACTAAGTCCCATGATCCTCTAAGTAGGGGCCTGAATACAGTAGAGGCCAAAAAGTTGGAAACCCCATAGCCTCAACCCTTAAGAGTCACGTATAGGGAATCCCAGCACGATGTGGCCTTAATCCGGTTTTCAACTGTTTGGGGCTTACTATAAGTAGAACAGGGTTTTGGCGCCCGTTATGCTACAAACATAACAAGGAGCCCCCAAAATAGTATAGGTAATCATTAAGGCCCCCATAGTGGGCTTTAGGGTTGGGGTTTGGGTTCATTTTCCCAGTCTGTCTCAAAGAATTCAAGATTTCACAATTGTTAGAATAGGGTTTGGGGGGTATATTATACTATAGTTACAATGAGGAACCCCAATCTAGTATTTACGCCCCTACACTACATCCTTATGATAGCCCTTAGCGTAACCCTTACATAGAGCCCTGTAAAGGAACCCTATTCAAACTACTAAAGCTCCTACATTGCCCTTTAATAAAGGTAGGACCCGTAGAAATTCCTTTAAGGAGCCATTTCAGGAACCCTATTATGTTAACCCTTATTTAAAGGAACCCGATTATAGTAACCCTTATTTAAAGGAACCCTATTCTAATTATGCAGGCCCCCCCCCCCCCCCTGCTGTCCTGTGCTGCAGAAGCTCCAGCACTTCCGCTTCGTCGGCAGCTGCGACAAAGGCGAGCGGCATTAGCCACAGGAAGGCCATCATTGCGCGGTCTAGGGTTTAGGGTTTAGGGTTAAAGGATTTAGGGATTTAGGGTTTAGGGATTTAGAGTAAGGTTCGTAACCCTAAACCTGGTTCAGGGTTGCTGCGCTGAGCCTTCATGCGTTCTTGCGGAATACCCCTTCTCCACGAACCTATACTGAACTTAGAACCCTAGCAGCTGTTTCTTAGGGGTTATAATAACCAAAAATTAAAAAACTATTTCTAAGTACCCCTAAGGAACGGTTCGGTCGTTTGCCAAGGCCGCATCGGCCCTTTCAGCAAAAGGCCAAGAAGCGAGGCGCGGGTTCAATCGCTCTTAGCCCTCAAATCGCGAGTTCAGTAACTACTATTTGGGGGTAACATAGGGATTCTTATTTATATTTTTGGGGGGTTTCTTAAGCAAATAGTAGGTAACCCCCACAGAATCGTCGGCATCGCAACTTTCAAGCCCTAAACAAGTTGAAGCACAAGCTGCCCAGATGATCAACTCATGCTGTCAAAGGTTCTGCCCCAAAGGGTCGTCTCGTATCAACGGCTTAGGGTTTAGGGCTCAAGCGCGTAATCTCCTCGTGTCCTGCTGGTGCTTTGCGGTCTCTTTGTAGTGTTTAGGGTTTACGGTTTAGGGTTATTCCGCCCGTCAGTTTAGGAGAAAGCCCCTGAGCAGAAGCTGCAAATGCGTGCCTAAACAAGCTTTACAGAAACACTTGAAAACAAGATTCCTGCGAAGGGAGATGAACTTCTTGAAAAATGTCAAAGCTAGGGCTATGTCAATGTTTCCACGACTTCCAATCAAGTCTGGAACTTCAGATAAATGGGATCTTGGGCTGCTGGCTTAGGGCATTGTGCGGTTCTTCTAGGGCATAGGGTATCGCTTAGGGAATAGAAGAGATAGCGGATCCTCCGCTTCGCAAGGGGAATCGAGACCACCCTTGACCCCAATTCCCACTGCTGTTCAATGTACAAGGTTTAGGGTTTAGGGTTTGGGGTTTCGTGTATCGGTCGAAAACGATTTTTGGTGCCCAGGCGTTTGCTCAAGTCTCCTCGGGCATTGGAAGGCCATTCCACTACCCGTGGCCCCATGGCTGCCCAAGGGGGGTGCAGAGATCCCCCGCGCCCGTCTGGACGGGAACCTGCCGAAACAGCCGAGATGGAGGAAGGCTGGGGATAAACCGGACTCGGAAATCCGACATCGAAACGAAAGAAAGAGAAGAAACACGAAATCGCTTTAGGGAAACTAAAAACGAAGAAAATGAAATGGTATATGGAATATTGCAGACTAGCAACATGCGAAATTAATCTGAAGCTGCAGTCTGTCGGAGTCCTCCATCACGGTAGCACTGCTCGCACGTGCTGTGGGACACAGAGAAGGCAGCCAAGTTTTTGTGGAACACTTCGAGCGCGGCCTCACTTTCTTGAACTGAACTATTCCTAACTTTCCTAACCGTCCAAACCTACCTGAGCAGCGCTTGCATCCTAAACCGGACCGCTTATACAGGAGCCTTTATAATTAGAATAGGGTTTTGGGACCCGTCATACTATACTTTTAATAAGGAACCCCCAAAATACTATAGGTAATTACTTAGGCCCTTTATAGTACCATGTCTTAGGTTTATGGCACGGCAGCCTGATACACCACAGCATCGGCATCGTCCTGCCAGCCCAGCAGCTCCGAGGCGTTGTATTCCGCCTGTGCCGTCTTACCTGGGGAACTGGGTCTGATGTCCTCGAAGTCCGACGATTGGCAAGCTCCCCCAAACATTTTGTGAAAGAGGCACATGGACAAGTCCCACATTTCCTCAGCGTCTCGCAAAGGCAGCAAAGCACAAGCACGCTGAAGTCTCAAGCGTGCCTATACCACGAACACGCTGCAGACTCATGTTCGTTTTACGGCAGTGTTCCCAAGCTGTAGCCCGAATTATGACCAGTAACCTTGGACCTTACAGAGGGTTACCCGACAAAACGTCACAAAGCTGCCCGACAATGGCTGGAGTCGGTGATGCCCACGAATGCGAAGCCTTCCCGAACCCTGCGCGCGGCTTCAGCCGCATCGTGGTGCGTCGTGGGCGGCCTGCTGTCGTAAAAGATACTACACCACCTCCATCACCAGAACCATCACGGTCTTAACGTTATCGCCATCGTCTTCTGACTTCATCATCATCATCATCATCATCCTCACCAGCTGCACCGCAGCATCAGCTCGAACGTGGTCTCTGGCATCACCATCGCATCATTGCAGCAACAGCAGCACCAGCCAGCGGCAGCGGCAGCATCAGCGGCCAAACTGTATTTCGTTTCCTGGTACTATGTTCCAAGGGTAAAAGGAGCGACCCTTAATAAGGACCCCTAGGTATATACCCTTAATTTAGCTATTATATACCCAAGATATAGCCCATTATAGGGTAGGGGTCCCCATCAAGGGTCCCTCCCTTTCCCCTTTGATATGTGATTCGTGTAACTTTCTGGACGTGTTTCTGTCAGCAATTGCGGGGATCGAGTTGAGGTTCGACATTCACCCTCTAAACCCACCCAAGTCCAAACCAAACATCTCTACCTTCACGGTAGTAGCATGCCCTAAACCCTAAACCCACACCCCGAGACCGGCCTCCCAGCACCGCCCAGAACTCCGCCCCAACCTTTGCCGACCAGTTGGTACGCCATGCCACCCCTCCTTGGCTCATCAGGTCACGACAGCCACTACTTAAAGGACTATGGGAGTTAGTAACTAGGGTTGTAGTAACTAAGGCAATGCAGCTCGACACCTCCAGGGTGCCTTGGCGTTCCAAGCAGCCATCAAACACTACCACAGCGAACCTCGCCAGAAACGAGTGGATCTTCGGTCCGGCGAATTGTGGAGGATCGTCGTGCCGTGCTCCGACACAGGTGCTGGAACCCCCGCCCCCCCCCCGCAACAAGCTCCAAAGCCCCGAGCTTCAAAGGCCAAACCCCCAAACCTCCGAGAGAAACCTCGACCCTCAAATCTAAAGACAAACACCACAACGTAACCGTAAACCCCTCCCCTTTTGGTCCCAACCCCAACCTACAGCCGAGGCTCCACTGCTCGGCGAAGTCGAGCAAAGGCATCTTTGGCAGTCCGTCCTGAAAGAAGCTGGGGGTTTCAGGTTTAAGGATTTGATGTCGCTTTTGGTGGTGTTTCAGGCTTTCTGACATGATCCGCGGACAACGTAAGTAAGTAGAGCTACAAGTGCCTAAGTTGGAAGTCTGACAGCGTACAACTATGGCTGCCTTACTTTTCACCCTACCTACCCAGTCCCCTGATCCTCTAAGTAAGGTTCTCGGGTTTAGGGCTAGGCTTTTGGGTTTTGTGGTTCATGTCTTAGAATGTGAGGTATCGGGGCTGGAGCACCTGCTGAGTCGGCTGGAGAATTGACATGGGGTTTTACGAAACAGAGGGTCCGCTGGTACGGTTCTGGTAGGCATGTGTAGCAACAGGGTTAGAGCTCTCCCCTAAACCCGAAACCCCTAAGCCCCCAAATCCTAAATCCTAAACTCCTAAACCCTAAACCCTGAATGGTGAACCCTTAGTGAGGATTCTTCTCAGAAGACTGGCGCGCTCCTTGAGGGACCCCTTTGGCTTTAGGCTTGAAACCGAGTTGCCTCACATGGCATAAGATACTTTTATATGGGCAGCAATCAAAACTAGCAACCCTTTTTGGGCACCCTAAATACTCGGTGCCGTATCATAAATAAGGACCCAGAAAAAGAACCCTGATTTTGACAACCACCCATGTAACAATCATACTCTAATATAGTGTACTTGTAGCATACTATACTACTACTATAGTTTAATGTACCAAGCTTATTGAATTATATTACAATATTATAATCCCATGTCCTAGGAATGTACAACCTACTGAGCCACTAAAACTTCGCGACTTGGGCGGGAAAGCTGCCACCACACAAGCTTGGAATCTAATGCTTGGGCTGTCGCTTCAGGGATTCCAAACCAGGACTTACAGCCAACCTTCAGTCCTAAACTCTTCCAGATATGTGCAGTTTAGGTCATAATTCTGGGGGGCCCTTGTTATACTTAGAGTCTGATGGGCCCCGAAGCTCTATTCTAACTGTTAAGGCCCCTATAGTGTAGAACCCTATTATAGAGATTCTTTATAGACCCCTGCACGGATCCCTTTACCAAGGAACCCTATTCTGCTTATTAAGGCCCTCATATTAAACCTAAACCTGGGAGGAATATTTAGGACTTCGGATTTACGGTTCAGGATTCGCAGGGATGAGGTTTAGGGTTTAAGGGTTTAGGGCTTTTGGGGCTTTAGGGTTTACGGTTTAAAGGCTTAGGGGTTTAGGGCTTTAGGGGCTCAGGGGTTTAGAATTTAAGGGTTTAGAAGTTATGGAATTTCAAACAAACAGAAAAAACCCAGGACCGACTCCGGGCGCCTCCGAACCGCACCAGTGGCTAGCCTTTGTTCTTGTTCAAAGGATTTTAATTGAAAGTACCAGAATTTAGGGTTCTTTAAGGCTTCTATAGTGGCTCGTTCCTTTTGAGAACGCGTCAAAATACAGGCCTGCGTTTGTGTATAGGGTTTTATGTTGTGTACATGCTAAGAAGCTGTATCGTAACGTGATTATAAACACATTGTATTCAATGGAAGGGTAGATACCAGCAACTATCTTTTTCGACAAAAATATTGGAGTGGACAGTTCACATTCACAAATAAAAATAGAAAACGAACTGCTGTAGGGAGACGTGGGACGGCTGGCGTCGTGTGCGTGCACCGCGGGGCCGTTGGGGGGTGGGGGGAAGGAAAAAAATATAAATATAAATATATATATATATATATATGCGTGTACAATACTTATATATATATATATATATATATATATACTTTTTTTGTTTTCTTCGCCCTCCCCGCCGCCCCCACCTCCCCTTGAGATTGTATGCTATGGGTCGAGGCCTGTGCGGGGAGCGGAGGGGGAACCCACCCCAAAAACGTAATGACCAGGGC